TTCTTCGAGAACGGACTCAGGAGAGGCATATTCATGAAGAGTCACCACAAAAGTCTTTTACAGTCTAATTAAGATGTTTGCATCCTTACTATGAATGCTTCTCAAAATTACAAACAAAACAGAATAAGCGTTCCGCTTCTCCAAAAGACAAACAGAACAGAATAAGCCTTTTTGTTGATTGAGTCGTAATGTAAGAGAAATTTTAGCTGCATCATAAACAACAGCGCCTAAATCCTTTGCAAAACTACAACATTTGAGATTTATCCCCATCGCATGCAGAATACAACTTGCAGGAGGCTTCTTTCCCTCAAATGCATGACTTTAGATTTGAATGCATTTACTGGAAGACTCTTTGAAAAAAGAAACCACAAGGCACACCACGTCTCGTTCAATCTCCGTGCAGCAGGAATAGATTTTCATGTTGTTGCAAAAACTTGTCTTGATGTCTGGGTGGGCATTCAACAAAGATGGTAGATCTGCCGTGTAGATGAGGAAAAACATAGGCGATAGTAGGCTAACCTGGGGTCACACTGCTACAATGGAAACGTTTTATAAAAACCAAGCCAGACCCAACGCGAACCCTGATTTTGCAGATAAGAGCTAACCAAGAAAGCCGTCTACAGCCTAAGCCGTTTATACAACAACTTTGGTCCAAATATTGGTCCAAATATCGTTACCTGTGCGTGGGAACAATCATTTTACCGCCCAATGCTGTAATAGCTATCTGAATCGGATGCCGTAAACACAGTGTCAAGGCAAAAAATTCGCATAGTACTGCAATGGTCAGATTGCAGTACTATGCGAAAGCGGACGCACGTAATTGCGCAAGTGCGCAGCGATAGGCTAAAAGCGAAGAAGCTGTTCCAGAAGTTGGGGAACCTACGCCTTAGTGGAAAAGCTTCGCCCATCTGCTCTGTGAAGAAGAGTGCTGCCAGTCAGGTCATCAATCTCACAGCGACATCGCGTCTCAGCCTTGGCGACACTTGTGCAAATTTGAATTATAAGGTTTTGGAATCTCTCGTCTTTCGCAATTTTCGGTGGATTCTTTTGCGCAAGTATGAACTTAAGTAAGCTTTGGAGCCATAATCGGAGTTTTTGTCCTTCAAAGATAGCGTTCACGTAAAACTAAAACCCGTATGTTAACGATATGCTAGGCCTCCAGTTGTTCTCCTTTGCACGTCTCTAATATACATTGACGAACTGGTGTCTACATGCAGGATGTTCCACTGTTTGGGTTCGTTTTCGATTCATCAAATGCTCGTGAATTTTGGCTTCAGACTGCAAGACTTGCAGCTAGATGGACTTACTAGCAGTGAATTCTTTCAATCAATCTCCCAAGTGCTTACGTTATAATATATTGTAAAAACCATGAGCAAAAAGATTCAAGCTCTGCTTTCTGATAAGTCATCGTTGTTCCTAGTCCGACCTCTGGCTTTCCTGAATTCCTTGTGTATCCTAAATCCATCCTGATTTCTCCCGACTAAGTCCCGTATGCATACATCCCTGCTGGGGAGGGGAGCGGATCTGATAGGGGATGATGCATCATATTTTGCTACTCTACGTATCCTCCTTCTTCTTTTTCTATCCTGCTTATGAAGGTTCTCATACCCTTGTTCCTGCGCATAGTGAATGCAAATTTACTGGCGTGATTGATTAGATTTTCACTAATTGTTTGATACCCTGGGGATCACCCCTCAATTTCGATGCCATTTTTCTCTCTGAAAACTCAATGAAACGCTGTAAAATTGTGTTGTGAATATACTACGGCACTGCTTAAGATGAATATGGTAGAAATGAGTGAAATCTCAGGATATCGAAATTTTCGGTAATCCCTAGCACGCGAGCATCGTAAATTTCACAAATTTCGGATTCCATTTCTTATGTCGAAAATATGCTTAGCAGTGCCGTAGTATGTCCTCAGTACAACTTTACAGCATTTCCATTGATTTCTCATGAATATAGATCACTTTGAAAATGAAAGGTGATCCTCAGGGGATTCCCTGAAGATCACACAAAATGGCAAACAACCAATCTCTATGGAAATAACCTGGCATCCATTACGCGCAGGTACAAGTGCATGAAAAACTTTATAAGCAAGATAGAGAAAGAAGAAGAAAGACACGAAGAGTAGCGAGATATGACGCATCCTCTCTCAGATTCCTTCTCCTCCCCAGCGACGATATACGTGCATACGAGCCTAAGCAACACTCTTTTTCGCAGAAACAAAGGAAGTTAAAGCAAAAAGATAAGAATTTAGAGCAAGCGTTACAAAGAACAGCTTTCTTTGCTCTGTATATGTGCAAATATCTCTCAGTTCGTCACTTTGATAAATAGGTCCTCTCCTCTATACTCAAGAGAGAAGACTTCCTCTTAGACTGAGTCGTCAACCTAGCCCAGTACGGAGCTGCTGGTGCAAGCAACTCTGGATGCAGAAAAAGCATCAATGCTTTTTTTTACAAACACAGTTGCATTGAAAACATTTATTGCTTATCGGTGTTAG